TTTCTCGATCTCGCAAACGAGCAATCAGTTCGTCGAACAACGAGACAGTTTCACGACGGATCGCGTGTTGTTTCGCGACAAACGATTTCGTGCTCGATCGCGCGTCTCGTCGAGAAGTTTCACGTATCGCGATGATTCCGAAATTGCACAAAAGCCGGTTCGATCCCCATTTTCCGCGTACACTCGTGGAAATAGAAAAATAAGGGAGCTGCCGGCTCGAGAGAGCAATTACACCGACGTCCGCCGCGTGTCGCCGACGAGAAACGTTGTTTTCGCAACGCGAATTAGTCGTCCGCGTCGTTGCAGCTACGATGGATTCAATTTTCGACTACGCACACACGGTTCACTTAACACCCTACCACTATTACCCTTAATCATTTAATCACCACTCGCCACTATTAATTGCGGACGCGTCCTAATAAATGCCCAGTGGTTGTTCGACGAGGATAGCACGAGGATTGGCTTTTGAACTCTGAGAAGAAGCTGTCGATCGACAGAAGCCGACACGTAGAAATTTACCAAACCTACGAGAAAAATATGCAATTCTTTCTTGAGAGAGTACTTATACAGTTTCGTCGCGAACAATTTCTTTCTCTTGTCTCCACTTCTTTTTTTTTTGGGTTTTATCTTTTTTTTAGTATCATAGCGAGAACCTTTCGTGCCGTGAAAAGTTCGAAGATTCTTTCGAACGAAATCGTCGAGCGTAACACGTACAAGTATAGCAGGGATCTTGTAACGTGAAGTGTGATCCTAAATCAAAGGCAACATTTTTATTCCATTATTGACTCATCGACGTTACTAATTTTTTTGCTGACTCAGAAATGTAAGTCCAGTAATCAAGAACGTTGTCTTTGAAACAAGTGTGGCGGCGCCTTAATGTGACCTGTTACCTTTGTTTCTTTGAACCACGTCACGTTACTTTGAAAAATCGTGATCCCATCCTTGTGAACAGCGATGCATATCGGTACAGTGATGTGACACATTGAAACTTCAGTTACTACTTAATTAAATAGTCTGATAAGTGATGTGCCTTAAGCCGCTGCCACGAGTTTTGTTTGAATGTAAATAATTTAAATTTCATTCGTATGCAGGAAATTATAATTACCATCTATAGTTTATAGATACAATAATTATATTAAGAGATTATATCCATTGTGCACGACTATGGAAACATGTATTTGATCTAAATTGTGTGCAGTTTTAGGGAACTTATTCAAAAATAAAGTTAAATTTATTAAGCTAAGTCAAAGTTATTCGTTATAAAGTTAAAAGGTTTTCAAATTTTCAAGGTTTCAAATCATCTAATTTTCCAGTAGAATCATAAATAACAAGATGGATGGCTATTTAAGGCATCACATATCAAACTAGTTTATTTACCATTCGTATCACTGTTCCTCTGTCCTCCCCACTCAGCATGTCCTTCCATTCCGAGTTCAAGATATCCCGAAACATAGTTCGATATCTTGTAAACTGAAAACCCCTCAGAAGTTTTTGTTCAACTGCGGACAATTTCACCTGTTCAAATATTTGAAAGTGTCAATTAGCTTTCATGTCGTCACACCGATATTAAACTACTCAAAATTACTGACATGTGTCGATCAAAATAGATCTCCGACATCATGTGACTATCATCCACCGTTAGAACAATCGAGCGAAGGAGAACCAAAGCTGCCAAACACGGGGACTTATAGGACATTTAATTTCATTTGAAACATTTTTCCATATTTGAGAAATTATTAAAAGAAAATGTTGGAGTCTTCCAACGTGAGAATGTTGGAGTCGAAAATTGCAGGTAACTTCATTTTATATGTTTGCGAGGATTTGTGAAAATTCTGTAAGGAATTTTTTATTTGATGTCATTTCATATTGTCGACGTGACGCAGAATGATGTGGCAATAATATTTGAAATATTTTTAATTGCACACAATTTGTGTGTACCCCATGCACATATATCAGGATGGTAGTTATACTGTACTAGGTATAAGCAGGACTGTACTTATACAGTTAGAAGTTATACAATTACATAGAAGAAAAGAAACCTTAAACAGGGTGTAAAGTAGGTAAACAGGGTGAATTATACTTGAAAACATAGTAGCATAGTATACCTCATATCCAGGCGATACTCCTAAGATCTTTCTTAAAGCATGTACACTAGTAATAGTGTCTGCCTACATTACTATACTTGCTACTATAGCAATCAACCCAGTATTTGTAATAAAAATTAGTGAAATTACCCAAATTGTTCTGATATAACCTAAAACTGCACCAAAACTGTCAAACATCCTGCGTCACGTCGGTAAGGTAGGAATCGCCACCCAATCGATGAAAAATTGCATTCTCGTCAGAAACCCCTTACGCAAACACAGTTTGAAGTTACCCGAAAAATCTCGAATTTGATAAATCTTCAATTTGACAAATCTCCGAATCCTTGCGTCCCCATTTCTGGCAAAGTTTTACACCGCTGTTCGTAACTGTCACCGAGGAACACGCAGCTCTCTGTGTCCTTGTTGAAACGGCTACAAAGTAGAAAACGACCAGACGATAGAAAACTATCAGGCAGGCTCGAACAGCTTTGGATAATTAGTTTCGAAGAAGTGTCTCCTGGGTGTGTATATTCAGGATTGCGGCTAATATATTCCATGTTCGGGAGAGGTTAGGTTAGGAAAGGGTTCGACGATTCGAAATCGGGACGAGACTTAATGCACGGTACGATTACAGCATGACTCGACCAACGGGAAGGCACTTGGGCAAATTACGTGCCGAGTTGGCCGTCGTATCTAGCACGCAGGGCACACACCATCTTCGTAATCCTCTGTCTGTATCTGCGCCACTACAAAGACAGATCGTTTAAAAGTATTTTTTCCTTACGAGAAACTTTAACTTCTTCCCTCTACTGTCTTAATCCTATGATATGTTCGCATTCGTTATGTATATATATAATATATATATATGTATATATATATATTATGTATAAGATTATTACGTAAATACACAATTTCTCTGTAGCATTTTCTCTCCCTTTCTGTCACTTTTTCACGCGCATTCGTACACTTTCTTTCAACAAACAAACGTCCTATTTTGTTCATTCACACTCGTCTAGGATATTAGACTCTCCTTAACAAGATACATAATTAAATGTATATAATGCTCGCCTTTCGCGACGCGCCAATGATAAAACATAAATACACGCTTCTTAGGGCACCTTTGGTATTAAGCTTGATGTACTCGTCTTCGTCTCTTTTCTTTTTTTCTTTATCTATATCAATTTCTACGAGCCACCGCGGTTGTCTCCAGAATTACGGGCTGCGTCATTTTCAACGAGTATTACACCCCACACGCGTGATCAGTGGTACACGGATAGTACACGAGCGCGATAGGTTTCCTAGGGAATACAGGGGAAGGGTTTCACCGATCGGGGATATTTTCAAGCCTGAGCCTTCTGATAGGGACTTTCGGATACTTTGAACCTTTCGTACTTGCGAGCTTTCAAATTTTTTAATTTCAAAATTTCATTCAAAGTTTACATATTTTCCATGTTAAAAATTTTCAAATTTAGAGATCTGCAAATTATGGAATATAGAAGTGTATCTCAGAATTTAGAGATTTGATCACTTGAGAATTTGTGTACATAAAATTTTGGAAACTCAGAAATTGAACTTGAGAGTAAATTGAAAATTTAAGAAATTTAAGTTTGATAATTTACGTATTCGAAAATTCGTCAATAAAAAAATTTGAAAACTTGCGAAGACTTGAAAATAGCCTAATCCCCAAAATCGAAGACAGCTTCCCCTCCACTCGTCTTAATCCAAAGAGAGCCTACATAATACTCGAGTGTACTTGCGGAAACTAGTTAAATTGCTTCAGGTTTACTCAATTTCCCCATAAAACACCAGGATTAACAACTACGCCCAGTGATATCGATAATCGTGTTGCGAATCGTTTTATGTTAGGTTAGGAAAGGGTTCGACGATTCGAAATCGGGACGAGACTTAATGCACGGTACGATTACAGCATGACTCGACCAACGGGAAGGCACTTGGGCAAATTACGTGCCGAGTTGGCCGTCGTATCTAGCACGCAGGGCACACACCATCTTCGTAATCCTCTGTCTGTATCTGCGCCACTACAAAGACAGATCGTTTAAAAGTATTTTTTCCTTACGAGAAACTTTAACTTCTTCCCTCTACTGTCTTAATCCTATGATATGTTCGCATTCGTTATGTATATATATAATATATATATATGTATATATATATATTATGTATAAGATTATTACGTAAATACACAATTTCTCTGTAGCATTTTCTCTCCCTTTCTGTCACTTTTTCACGCGCATTCGTACACTTTCTTTCAACAAACAAACGTCCTATTTTGTTCATTCACACTCGTCTAGGATATTAGACTCTCCTTAACAAGATACATAATTAAATGTATATAATGCTCGCCTTTCGCGACGCGCCAATGATAAAACATAAATACACGCTTCTTAGGGCACCTTTGGTATTAAGCTTGATGTACTCGTCTTCGTCTCTTTTCTTTTTTTCTTTATCTATATCAATTTCTACGAGCCACCGCGGTTGTCTCCAGAATTACGGGCTGCGTCATTTTCAACGAGTATTACACCCCACACGCGTGATCAGTGGTACACGGATAGTACACGAGCGCGATAGGTTTCCTAGGGAATACAGGGGAAGGGTTTCACCGATCGGGGATATTTTCAAGCCTGAGCCTTCTGATAGGGACTTTCGGATACTTTGAACCTTTCGTACTTGCGAGCTTTCAAATTTTTTAATTTCAAAATTTCATTCAAAGTTTACATATTTTCCATGTTAAAAATTTTCAAATTTAGAGATCTGCAAATTATGGAATATAGAAGTGTATCTCAGAATTTAGAGATTTGATCACTTGAGAATTTGTGTACATAAAATTTTGGAAACTCAGAAATTGAACTTGAGAGTAAATTGAAAATTTAAGAAATTTAAGTTTGATAATTTACGTATTCGAAAATTCGTCAATAAAAAAATTTGAAAACTTGCGAAGACTTGAAAATAGCCTAATCCCCAAAATCGAAGACAGCTTCCCCTCCACTCGTCTTAATCCAAAGAGAGCCTACATAATACTCGAGTGTACTTGCGGAAACTAGTTAAATTGCTTCAGGTTTACTCAATTTCCCCATAAAACACCAGGATTAACAACTACGCCCAGTGATATCGATAATCGTGTTGCGAATCGTTTTATACTTCCTGTCGAAAGAAGTCCTGTCTATAATATAGCAAATTTCATTAATTTTAATTTCTTAACACCTTATCGACGATCATGCACGTTCTACCTCACAGTTTCACACATTGGTTTAAACTCTTCAGGGAACATACGTATGCATCGTTTATTTTTATATCAAATTTTATCTTTTATTGGATATATTCTTGTTTAATACCGGGACCATGAAAAATTCGTCCCTGAAGAGATTAAACGATTCCCTTATACTTTTTTTTTAAATTAATTGTAATTTTTTCTATTCTCGTTAAACATTTTATGTTAACAAGCATGTGAACCTTGTCTATAAGGTGTTAATTTCCTCGAAGACAGCGCGGGGCTCGATCATTCTAAAAAAATCTTCCGCGATTGTGTATCTGTGTGTGTGTTCATTTTACATGCGTTCGCATGTAACTTCAAGACTGATTTTACACTGCTGTGTAAATGTACCGGTCAAAAATTGTCACCATTCATAATTTTTCTCAAATATGTCATATAAAATGAAGTACGAAATGTAATAAAAATTGTATGATTTTTCTTTAAATATTTTTAAAGAAAACCTTCAAATTTTTCGGTGTTCTTAGAAATGTGAGGTTAGTTCACTTAACCTGACAGGATGTTCTTTTCATCCCGAAACAGCTGTGTATCGCTTTATGCAAATACGTAATAACCAATGCATAAAATTTAAAATGCAAATGACTCTAAATTACCAAATTATACAAAAATTGTTCTGCGAAGTAATATTTTTCAAATGATCTCGCATATAGAATACACGCGTAGCCATTACTGCGCAGTAATCATGCGCGGTCATTAACCGTGCGCAGTAATTATGCGCAGTCGTTAAACGTGCGTAGTAATTATGCGCAATGAAGTTATACCACCTGGTTATAACTTACAACGTTAAGAGCGATTTTAATTGGATTCGCGTAAAAGGTTTGAAACTTTTGACCGGCATGTGAACGTGTAGATCGGAAACGAAATCGTGTTTGTCGAAATCGCGGCGTGTGTAAATTCGCAGGAGCGTCGCGACGCCCCTCGGACTCGGCCCTCCCCTGTTATCCGCGTTTCGCATTAATCCTGTCGTGTCTGTCGTCGTCTCTCGCTTCGTCGTCGTCGATCGCAATCGCAACACTCGGTGGAAAATAAATAGACAAGGTAGTACACGGCTAAATCGAATCGATAAGTTAAGTCGTTAAAAAATATATATACCTAGGAATATCATATATACGCGATTATTTTGGGCCCCCCGCGAGTCGCGAATCTCTTTGAACGCCTCGTGTTGTTTTCCGCAACAATTTACAAGAAGAATTTGCCTACTGGTGCTGCTTCGAGACAGGGCCGAACCCTGCCCTTATTAATTTCTCTTCTCCCTTTTCTCTGCGTGTACGTGTAATAGATTTTTTTCTACGTGCTTCTCTTCGGTTCCACACCCCCATCCCCTTCTCGTTTCTTCTCCAAATTACAACGCGAATTTTTGCCACCTGGTAATTGTCGCCTAGATAACGTTGTACTCGTGGATGGTTTCTTTGTCGTTGTTGCAAAAGGTTCTTGGTTCAACAGGATGGGGGTGTGTTAGCACGTCAGGTGTTCCCTCGTTCCTCTTACATGCCGTTGATGTCGATCTTAAGGTTGCCCGTTTTCTTCTCTCTTTGATCCCTGCAAAAGCGAACGGATCGATTAGAATGTTTCAAACACGCTCAATCGTTGGACTCCTTTAATCAGGAGCTTTGCCACGAATCTCAGTTATCGATTGCTATTTTCGTTTGTTCGAAATGAAAAGAAAAGCTTTCCTGGAAATTTACGGGGTTCCTTGAGTTTTCGACAACAGACTAAGAGAAATAAAAGGATGTCTCGTCGTGGAAATGATTGAAAGCGTTCAAGCTGGTAAGAGATAACAGAATCAAGCATCAAAGGAAATGTTCTTTTTGACCCTGTTCCTAGATCGCTCGTTGGAAACGAACGAAACCTTTTCGGTGCTTTATCGAAACTCGTTTCGTGGTTTTTGTACGCGTTTGTTAATACATATAAGATCGCGGAAAAATTCCTAACTGTTCTCTTTGAGCGGTCTAATGAGCCGTGAAGGCGGCAACGAATGCTATCTAACTTTACACAACTGCCAGGAGGTAACACGTTCGTTGCACGCGATATCGCGTGGTACTTAACGTTCCATCATAACAAATTTTTTTTATTTTGAAACGAGGATACTTTCCAATTTTTAATTGCATAGCTTTCTAATTTTCGAGAGGAAATATTTTAAAGCTGACAAACTTGAAAATTTGCAACTTCTGTTCAAGTTCACGAACTTTTTAATTGTTAAATTTAGAAGAGATATTGTACAATTTTCAAGTTTACGAATATTTACATTTTTGTATTTTTGAAGGTGGAGTATTAAAATTTTCAAACTGATGTGATTTGATATTTATAAGATTTTAAACTTGCATGATACGAAATTTGCTTTCAAATTTGCATGATTCGAAATTTATAAGATTTCAAATTTACATGCTTTGAGGTTTATAAATTTTCAAATCTTCAGTTGTGCAAACAATTGAGCGCAGGTGTCCGTCAGTGATCCACGTGTCGACATCGCGTGTTATAATTAGCATTCGGTAGCACGCGATATCGAGTGAACGAACGTGTTAAGTTGCAATGGTAAGCGTCAAGCAACAAAAGTAATAAAAAGCATTCATCAAAGAAACACCAAACGATTTTTTCCTCTCAATAATTACAGTAATTCAAAAAAAGAGTAGTTTATTAATGAAAAAAATGTATCTTCAAAGGTACATATTTAAATAAACGCATGTTCAAATAGTTCCTTAACAAAATTCGACTTCCGTCAACGGTTTGTTATTATTTTTAACAAAGTGAAGAAAGTCAAAGAATGCATTGAAACTTTTGAAGGAACAGTCTCAATTAAAATGTTCTTTGTTCCTTTGACGGATACATGTAAAAAATAAATGCGTTTTCTTAGCTGCATTCACACAGATACAGGATTGCTGCTTTCACTAAAAATTAATTGCTACAGAAACGAATTCTCAGATTCTGACACCTGAGGAAATTTTAACTTAACAATGCTTTAGAATAACGTAGTTAATTTCGTAAGTCTTTTACTAATGTAAACTAGGCTTAAGATCGATTTATACCGTCCATTCAGATACGAAATATCATAACGTAACCAACACATTATTATTCATATCGTATCACGCAAAACGATCGGTGAACTGAATATCAATTAGTTTTCCGCTACAGTGTACATAATATTCAGATAACAGCTGTGACAATTTTTGAGTCACTTCCGAACAGAAGAATTAATCAAATTTATAAATAATGTTATGGATGAATATTCATTAGTGAATGAATTTCTGAGATAAATGAATATGAAATAATTTGGTAAAAATGTCAGGTGGAAATTGAGGTTATGTTCGGTTAAATGATGTGCGATTTATTTTAATAGGATATTGTAGGTGAAATTCAATATTATGGTAAGATTAGTGAAATTCAATACTATGGTAGGGTTAGTTATTCTAAATAGTTATAGATTCTAAATACTTTAGAAAATATTATGTATCTGAATAGAGAACATACATAGTAAATCGATCTTTGGTTCACGAAAAAATATTGCATTAACACATTGACTACCTTGAGAATACGATTTGTAAGTTAACCTAAAAAATTTGAATGTTAGAAAATTAAGAGATCTCAATATTTATTGCTTCTTTTCCAAATGACAAAATTTATGGTTCTTTAACTTTTTTACAATAAATCAAGTACCTGGTTTTACATTTTCAATTTACATTAAATAAATTTCATATAAATCCTTTGCGCTCGAGAGTCATGAGTCACTGACAATGAGGCTCACCATTTTATTTAATACAATAAATTGAAATAAGCATTTTTTAACTGATTCCATAATATCACACATGTGACATACAGGGTGTTACCTGTAACGCTACGATTTTTCTCTCACTTGCACCTTACGAAAAAAAGCTTAGAACAATATTTGCAGGGTATGAAGTGCACAATAGATATTAGTAAAGCAAATTTTGAAAACAGTTTGTTCTCTCGGCAAAGTCAAGGTCACTTGAGTTTTTTAAATAGGAACATACATTTTTTCATGAAGAGCTTTAGAGGACATCGAGAGAAATTCAAAACACATGTTACATGATATTTTTATTAACATATTACTCGATTTACAGAAGTGGAAATGTGAAGTACGTAGCTTTTGACTTTGGTAGTGTAACCATTATTTGATTCCGAAGAGATTACTGAATGTAAACACGCGACTAGAATGTAAGAAAAATACACTTTATTTAATTACATGTTCAAAATGTATGCCGCCTTCCATCACGTAATAT